GTGTGCTTCCCTCAGGGCAAAGGGACAGCAGGGGCTGTGGGAAGGGGAATTGTCCAGGAATCCTCTGCCAGTGGTCACTGGGAGAGAAGGCACCAGCCCAGCCCAGGGTGCTTTGTCCTCAGCTCTGATTTTTGGGCTGTGCTTCTTTCCTGCAAACCAGGCAAATCATTTCTCTTGAGCTTTTGCCTAAAGCCACTGGGGATAAAACCACCAAAGATAGAAACTGCTTAAAAGCTCCAAAAGCTCTGAATTCTTTTGTTACAAACGAACTCCATGAAAGCACACAACAAACAAACAAACACAGCCTGACCTCTCCTTTACATAATCTGTGAAGAGTTTGGGTGCAGCTGACATGATTTGTGTCATCCTCACCCACCTGAGCTGCTCTCTTGCCTTTCCCACGTGTGTTTGTGTAACTGTGGCTCCTTTGTTTCCCTCAGTCACAGGGGGCATCACGGAGGAGCAGTTCCAGACCCACCAGCAGCAGCTGGTGCAGATGCAGAGGCAGCAGCTGGCCCAGCTGCAGCAGAAGCAGCAATCTCAGCATTCCTCCCAGCAGCCACACCTGAAAGCACAGGTACTGCTCCCACCCTGCATGTGGCTTCTGCTCACGGGGCTGCTCGGCTCTCACAACCAATGGGACACCCCAGAAATGTGGGATCATTAGAGGGAGTTTAAAACAATTTGCTCAGGGGGGTTTGAACAAGTTGGATGCATTTTACAAGGTGAGGAAGAGACTTTGTAGCTGAATGTGTTTCCTGCATCCACAGAGTAAAAATACCAATGTGTGCTCTCAACTCTTCTGTTTTCACTGGTTTTGTCCTCCTGCCTCTGAAGAGACTTCATTAAAATTACCTTCAATGTAATGTGTTCTGTTATGAGCAGATACTCAGTGAGCACTAAAAATTGGTACCTCTGAGAGGAAAAGGAGACCTTGCATATTTGCATATTCTGGCTTCTTCTGGGAATTCTTTTGAATCCCATTTTTCCTCTGCAATCCCTTGCCAGAGATTTTTGCAATGTATTTTTATATTTACATATGGATATACATGTTACATATTTTTCCATTGCCCTTATTATTCTGTTAGCTTCTCCCCAGTAAAGTATAAAAGCTGTTGCTGTTGTCTGTTACTAGGAAAATATCTATTACTTTGAGCATTTTATATCTAATTGCTTGTGCTGGTTGTCCCTTCCCCTCAGTGTTTTCTACTTCAATTAATCAGGGATTCTGTGTTGGCAGATACCAATGGCATTTTTTGTAAGTGTAAAGAAACAATGCCAAAATATTTAAACCAAACAAATGAATTTTGGATCTTTAAAACATTTCAAGCTTCTCTGCAAAGTCATTTTCTTAGTTAATATAAATTGGAATTGCAGAATTAATGTTCTTTCCAGTAAGAATGGTGAGCCTTTCCAGTAGGAGCTGGGCTAAGAGAGTGGGATTCCAGAATGTGCTGGGCACTTGTTCTGTGGCACAAATCACAGAATGGAGGTACCACAAATCCTGAGCATCCCTGAGGTTTGCAGCTGCCTGGAGACAGAACAGAGAAGGTTTAAGACGTGGTTGTTTTCTTAGAGGAAGCATCTCCAGACATGGGGAATCCTCTGTGGTTTGGGTTGGGAGGGACCTTAAAGCTCATCCAGTTCTCCCAGGGACTCCTCTCATTATCCCAGGAGGCTCCAAGCCCTGTCCAGCCTGGCCTTGGGCATTCCAGGGATGCAGGGGCAGCCCCAGCTGCTCTGGGAATTCCCAGTGTCCCATCCATCCCTGCCCTCTGGCACTGGGAGCCATTCCCTGGCTCCTGTCCCTCCATCCCTGTCCCCAGCCCCTCTCAGCTCTCCTGGAGCCCCTTCAGGCCCTGCCAGGGGCTCTGAGCTCTGCCTGGAGCCTTCCCTGTCCAGGCTGAGCAGCACAGAGCAGAAGTGATTTGTTTGCTGAGGTCTGGCCTGGCTGCATTGGGCAGCCCTTGTGTCACCCCCATTTGGACACTGATTTCCAGCTCCCCATCACTCTGGTGCCACAGAAATGTTCCACGTTGTGGTGCATTAGGGCACACATGGAATCTGTATTTATTTATTTGCTTTACCTGTGCACTCTAGCAATCCTAAGGCACATTTCCCTTTGTAGTTGGGTGATTGAGAGCCACCTTTTCCTCTTCCTGCAGGGCTCCAGCACCTCTGACTGCATGTCCAAGACCCTGGATTCAGCCAGTGCCCACTTTGCTGCCTCTGCCGTGGTCAGTGCGCCGGGCCCCGGGCGCAGCGAGGGAGCCAAGGAGCAGAACACCAGCCACAACAATATCAACGGTGTTGTCCAGCCTTCAGGTGAGGAGGCCTTGAAAACCCCAGCCTGGAATGAGCTGGGAATGTCACCTGTTCTTAACCATCACCTGGTCTTAGTGCTGATTTCTAAAATATTGTTAAACAACAACAAAGAAAATCAGATTTCTTCACTGTGATCGTTTTAAGTATTGTTCTCTGAAGTGCTTTGGAGCAGTGGTTTGAATCATGGAGTATCCTGAGTTCATTTTGTTTCACAGTTTGACTAGATGGACTTTTTGGTAAATACTTTAGTGGCATTTCACTGTCAAATATGAAGTTCAAGGCAAAATAGTATTTTCTATTACTGTCCCACAAGGATGATCAAAGTCCAGCTCCTCAGGACAGCCCTGAGAATCCCACCCTGTGCCTGGGAGCCTTGTCCAACAGGTGTTGTTAAAATGGATATAAAACCACCAAGTGCTCTTTACCTTGGAAGAGCATTATTTGCTTTTCCTTTTCTAGTCTTTATCTTCTAATAACCTGTTCAGATCAAAACTCTAAATGACAGCATTTTAAAACCAGTGTGAGTGTGTAATGAAAGAATAAATCAACTGCTTAAAACATTTAAGTACTTTGAGAAGGAAATGGAGAAGTTGATTCATTATTTGGTTGTTACCTCACTTGTATATTCAGCCAGAAATGTACTGCCCAACCTTTACTGGCATTTCTTCTGACATCACTGTTAGCCTCAAGTTTCACTGCATTTAGGATTTGTCCCAAAAAGTGCCCCCTGCCACCCTCCTGTGGCGCTGCTTGTGCTGGTGCCATCTCACAGTGCCAAGAGGCAAATGGGATTTGGGCTGCCAAGACAAAGAGGAGGCTTTTAAAGTAATTTGTTGTTTTAGCAGCTAATGATGTGATTAGTTTTATAGACCTTCTGCCAGGCTGGGTTAATGATAATATGAAATGAATAGAGGGAGAAAAAGCACGACTGAATAAAATCAATAAACTGGAGCAGTTCCAGGATAGGGAGGGAGATCTGTGTGTAAATCTCTGAGTTCACAGCCAGGAGGGCAGTGCTCTGAGGGTGGAAGAGCAGCACATGGTGCTGCCTTGGAGCAAGATTTAGAGAATAAAAGTGGGTATTTATTGAAGGCCTTCAGTAGATGCACCTTGAGCAGTCAGAAGCCTCTCAGAGGCCACACACAAAATGGAAAATGATCGCAAGTGTTTCAGATAATTATGAGTTTGGTCCATTTGCATATCAGGGGTTAATCCTCCAGTTACATTTTCAGGTAATGAAGTCATACACCCCCAGTTCTCCCCCCTGCCAGCTCACTTTGGTTTACACTTTTCTGGGCCTGAGACAGTGAGGTGTCTGAGTTTCAGGCCTTGAGGGGTTGTCTGAATAAAACAGGAGAACAGCAGCTGACAGGCTGTGGAGTTTTAGAGTTATCCCCTAAAGCAGTACAGGATCTGAAAAATATAAAAGCTAAATCCTGAGGCATCAATGGCAGCGTGCCAAGCTGCCACTTCTGCCTTTTACCATTTTGTGAGTCTGTAAAATATGGACATCAATGACTTACACACTGAAAGCATTGCCCTTGAGGTTAATCTTTGCCTTTTCATCTAAGAAACCTCACCTTTTTTTTTAACACCCACCATTTATTCTGCCTAACAGGAACCTCCAGAACTTTATACTCCACCAACATGGCTTTATCCTCCAGCCCAGGGATCTCAACTGTACAGCTCGTAAGGACAGTTGGCCACAGCACCACAAACCACTTAATCCCAGCCTTGTGCACGAGCAGCCCTCAGGCTCTGCCCATGAACAATTCCTGCCTGCCCAGCGCCGTGCACCTCAACAACGTCAGCGTTGTGTCTCCAGTCAATGTTCATATCAATACACGGACTTCAGCGCCCTCGCCAACTGCCTTAAAACTGGCCACAGTTGCTGCCAGCATGGACAGAGTGCCAAAGGTAACTCCCAGCAGTGCCATCAGCAGTATAGCAAGGTGAGTGGGGGACAGGGCTTCTGGTTTTGTGGGAGATGGAATCGTGGGATTGTTTGGGATTATTCATTTTGTGCTTGAATCGTGGAATTTTTTGGGTAAGAATCGACAAAGTCAGGGTCCAACCCAGGACTATCAGAGCAGAGCACTGAGTGCCACCTCAGCAGTGCCTCCCTCAAATCCCTGGGCAGTGCTTGACAGCCCTTTCCGTGGAGAAACCCTTCTGTTTTTGGGAGATTGAATTGTGGGATTGTTTGGAATGATTCATTTTGTGCTTGAATCGTGGAATTTTTTGGGTTGGAATCAACAAAGTCAGGGTCCAGCCCAGGACTCACCTCATCAGAGCAGAGCACTGAGTGCCACCTCAGCAGTGCCTCCCTCACCTCCCTGGGCAGTTCCAGTGCTTGGCAGCCCTTTCCATGGAGAAATCCTTCTTTTTGGGGGAGCTTGAATCATGGAATTATTAGGTTTGTGCTTGAATCATGGAATTATTTGGGTAGGAATCACCAAAGTCAGGGTCCAACCCGGGACTCACCTCATCAGAGCAGAGCACTGAGTGCCACCTCAGCAGTGCCTCCATCACTTCCTTGGGCAGTGCTTCACAGCCCTTTCCATGGAGAAATCCTTTTTGTGGGAGCTTGAATTGTGGGATTGTTTGGAATGATTCATTTTGTGCTTGAATCGTGGAAGTGTTTGCGTAGGAATCAACAAAGTCAGGGTCCAACCCAGGACTATCAGAGCAGAGCACTGAGTGCCACCTCAGCAGTGCCTCCCTCACCTCCCTGGGCAGTGCTTGACAGCCCTTTCCATGGAGAAACCCTTCTTTTTGGGGGAGCTTGAATCATGGAATTATTTGGGTTGAAATCACCAAAGTCAGGTGAAATCACCAGGATTCCCCCTCACCTCATCAGAGCAGGGCACTGAGTGCCACCTCAGCAGTGCCTCCCTCACCTCCCTGGGCAGTTCCAGTGCTTGACAGCCCTTTCCATGGAGAAACCCTTTTTGTGGGAGCTTGAATCGTGGGATTATTGGGAATTTTTAATTTTGTGCTTGAATCATGGAATTATTTGGGATTATTCATTTTGTGCTTGAATCATGGAATTATTTGGGTAGGAATCAACAAAGTCAGAGTCCAGCCCAGGACTCAGCAGAGCACTGAGTGCCACCTCAGCAGTGCCTCCCTCACCTCCCTGGGCAGTGCTTGACAGGCCTTTCCATGGAGAAATCCTTCTTTTTGGGGGAGCTTGAATCATGGAATTACTAGCTTTGTGCTTGAATCATGGAATTATTTGGGTTGAAATCAGCAAAGTCAGGGTCCAACCCAGGACTCACCCTCACTCATCAGAGCAGGGCACTGAGTGCCACCTCAGCAGTGCCTCCCTCAACCCCCTGGGCAGTTCCAGTGCTTGACAGCCCTTTCCATGGAGAAATCCTTCTTTTTGGGGGAGCTTGAATTGTGGGATTATTTGGAATTTTTAATTTTGTGCTTGAATCATGGAATTATTTGGGAATTATTAATTTTGTGCTGGAATCATGGAAGTATTTGGGTAGGAATCACCAAAGTCAGGGTCCAACCCAGGCCTCACCCTCACTCATCAGAGCAGGGCACTGAGTGCCACCTCAGCAGTGCCTCCCTCACCTCCCTGGGCAGTTCCTGTGCCCATGGAGAAATCCTTCTTTTTGTGGGAGCTTGAATCATGGAATTATTGGGAATTTTTAATTTTGTGCTTGAATCATGGAATTATTTGGGATTATTAATTTTGTGCTTGAATCGTGGAAGTGTTTGGGTAAGAATCGACAAAGTCAGGGTCCAACCCAGGACTATCAGAGCAGAGCACTGTGTGCCACCTCAGCAGTGCCTCCTTCACCTCCCTGGGCAGTGCTTGGCA